CCGCCTCTTGCCGCCCCGGGCAGGGTCCCCGCTGCGCTGGGGCGGACTTGCGGGGCCTCCCCCCCGCACGCGCCGCCTTGGCTGAGCTCCGGTCCCCAGGCCCGCCGGGGTCTCGGCCCCCAGGTCGGGGCGCGGGCGCAGCCCCTGACGAGAGGCTGTTTTGGTGCAGGCCATGTCCAAGTCCCTGAAGAAGATCGTGGAGGAGAGCCGGGAGAAGAGCCTGCCCGAGGTGGACATGTGTGACCGGGGCATCTCCAACATGCAGGACGTCTCTGGCTTGTGTAGGTATCGCGAGCGGTTCCGCCCGGGTCCCCCGTTCCTCGCCCCCTTCCCAGGCAGCCGCCGCCTCTGAAACTATGACGGGCGTCAGGCCGGCGGCTGGCGGGACCCTTGCAGTGGGACCAACATTCATGCAACTTCCTGATCTCTGAGTTAGGCTGAATGTGACCTCTTGCTGTCCCGACTGTTAAGTTTTCTCTTAGACATTGAAAGTCAGTTGTCAGTTTCACTGCAGCTCTGGGTCCATTTCACTGCCTCAGCACTGCACTATAATTGGGTTCCAATCACTATTCATAAATATGTCTGGCTGTTTTTATTATGGTGACACCAAGGTGCATCATCTGACTGGGGCGCTCCTGTGATAGCTGTAGTGCTTCTGGTGAAGATGCTCTAAGCCAGGGTTTCCCAGCCTGTAGGTTGGGACCAAAATATGGGTTGCTATTACATTTCAAAGGGGTTGCCAGGTGTCTCCCCAGGTGGCTCTTAAGGAGCCATTCACGCATTTTTTTTTAATTGTCTTGGGTCACCAAGTCTTCCATAATTGTCAAAATAGGTCCCTATCTGGAAAAGGCTGGGAACCGCTGCTCTAAGCCAAATGGAAGAGCTCTCTCTCTCATCTGTCTAGTAACTTATGCCTTCTTGAGAAGTGCTGGCTCTGTAAGTGGGAGATCTCCCACCAAGATAGTAGTGTCCACTGTAGTGCTTAGGTCATTAGAAATTGACATGGATGTGGAATATTCATATCCCTGAGCGTCGAAAGCTATACTGAAGTAATTTCTGTTATAGACCTAGCCTGAGGCTTAGTCTGTACTAACTACTTATGTCAGTATAATTTAGTCACTAGAGGCCGTGGAAAATCGACATCCCTGAATGATGCAGTTTTGCTGACCTCAATACAGGTGAAGATAGAGCTAGGTAGAAGGGAGGACTTCTGTCAGCAGAGATGTCATTTTCACTAGTGTTACAGAACCACAGCAGCAGAAGCTGTGTCCCTGTAAGTTGGAACAAGCACTAAATAGATAAGACAGGGGAGATAAAACAGCAGAGAGGTGACAGGCCTTGCTTAAGGACCTGAAGCAGACCCTAGACAGAGCCAGAAGTAGAACTTCTGGTTTCCTTAGTCTGTTAGTATCCTGCACACAGGGCCATACTGGCATAGTTCCAGATTAATGTAGTTATTTTGCTTTTTAGCCAGAGGTAAGCAAAAAGGTACATCTTAGTTTCAGAAAATTTAATTAAACTTTAGTTTGGCTGCTTTTATTGCTGCTTACCAAACTTTGCCTGACTGTTCCATGTAAAACAGAATCTGGAATATTTTCAAACTGTGTTTTAATGGGCACGCTAATACAGGGTATGCAGACAGGTAAGTGTAATCTAATCTGAAAAAATTGCTCGTCTGAATTTAAAATTACTACATATAATCCAAACCTGAAGTTCGGGCTGGTTGGAGCTTGCTAATCTGTAAAAGACTGTTTTACAAAATCTGCATCTTGAGCCCAACTTAAGTTGGCTCTTTCTGCTCCCTTCATTAAGTCAATAACTTATTTTAAATTTCTGAAATACACTCAGCAGCCGTGAATCTGAGAGATACTAAGCATCTGCCTTATGATTCCTGTCAACTTTAATAGACTCTGTAGGTGCTCAGAACCTGTTGGGGTCAGGTAGTTTTTAGTTTCTTACAGAGCATTACTGTCTAAACACACAAAGATTTAGCTTCAATTTAGTCAGGTTCATAAATGTGTATGTGTAATACCACTTACCTCAGGCAGGAGAGTTTCCAGTGGAGTTCTTAATTTAAACGGGGACTACTAAGGTGGATAAGGGTCAGAGTGGCTTTTCAAACCCTTATTTACAAGAACCAGTTCTTGCTTTTGTGAGCCTTTTGAAATCAGAGGGCTAATTAAAGTAGGGCCTGACTGTGCATCTCATAACTTAATGAACTCACCAGAAGATTTACCTAGCATTGCTTGGGTCCTTAACTTAATAAGCTCTTTGTTTTTGTTCACTGGGAATGAGGGGTTCAGTATGCAGTTTTTCCTGGAGAGAGAGAGAGACGACTATCCCAGCAGTCTCTCTCCCCACAGAAGCTTGGGATCAGGTGGGAAGCACTGCTGGCTGCTGCAATACCAGCAGGCACGACTGGGGAAGGGGTGCATGTACCCTGACTGGGGAGCAGACAGTCAAACTGACATGCAAGCAGACAAACTCACTGAAATACATAGTAGATAAGTAGGTTAAACTACAATATGAATATAGCCATGCGTTTTCCTCTGCATTACGTACAATTGTTGCTGTTATAAAAATGCATTGCTCATGATTATCCACTGTTTTGTAAAATCACTTTTTCATATAAAGTTTTCAGTCCCACTGGCCTAATTAAATGGGTATGTCTTAGCTTTGTACTATGGACCACCATATGAATGGAAAAATAACAATCTATGTTATAGATAACTTTGTATTAATTGTATATTCTTGATAAGGTTTTTGCTTTCTTGGATTGGGAAATCTAAGTATTTCTTAATCTAGAATAAAATCTTTCATTACACATTTCCAGGCTACATCTAGACTGCAGACTTCTTGTGCAAGAAGCTTTTTGTGGAAGAGATCTTCCACAAAAACTTCTTGTGCAAGAGCGTATCCACACTGCAAAAGTGCATCAGAAAAGCGCAAGAGAGCATCCAGAGTGCATGGATGCTGTCTCGCTGTCTGATTGCCATTAACAGAATGGCCACCAAGGCACCTGTGCTTCTTTCAATAGGCTGTTTGTGTGCAAAAACATCCTCTTTCCTGTCCATACACACCTTTTTGTGCAAGAGCTCTTGTGCAAAAATGAGTTATTCCTTGTAGAAAGAGGAATAACTAAACCGCAAAAACTCCTCTGTTCTGTCAATTCATTGTAGATTTTTCTTGCGCAAAAATGTGCGTGAGGTGTGGACACCGAGTTTTTGTGCAGAAACAGCTGTTTTTGGTGCAAAAACTTTGCAGTGTAGTCATAATCTCACTGAGAATGCATAATGTCTTAGTGTTGTGGATGAGACCAAAATCTATATCTAAAATATAGCTGTTGACAACAAATAGTCTGGTAACACTTTAAAGACTAACAACACATGCAGATTGTATCATGAGCTTTTGTGGGCATAGCCCACTTCTTCAGATGACTGGAGTGTTGGGTGTCCAGAGTTGTGCCCACAGAAACTCATGATACCATCTACATGTGGTGTTAGTCTTTGTTGTTTTAAGTTTTTCCTGTTACAGACTAACTCGGCTACCTCTCTGAGGCACTTATTAAATTAGACCTTTATTAAACTTTCTATTTGTACTTGGGAAGAGGAAAGCTTAATTTCTTGGGCAGGTAATACTAGCTTATTTATTTTTCTCACAGCAACTAAGGATGTTAAAGTGTGGTTAATTAACTAGTCGAGTAGTTGATGGACTTTCATTGACTAGTTGATAGGCATTTCTGTATTCCACCTTTGAAATGTACAAGCAACCATGCTGGGGCTCTTGTACATTTCAAAGGAGGAATGTTGAATTCCCCTTGAAGCCCTGGGCCAGTGGGAAGTCCTGCTGACGCTGGGCTGCATGCGGGCGTGCCTACTTTGAAATGTGCAAGAGTCCCCATTGGGGGCTCTTGAGCATTTCAAAGCCGTAGCATCCTCGTGGAGCCTCCCCAGCTGACCCTGGATTCTGCACGACATTTCCCCTGAACCTGGGGTCAGCTGGGATCCTGGGCTCTGCGTGGCATTTTAGCGGAACCCGGTATCAGCTGGGGACTGGGAAAATGCCATGGGGTCTGGGGAAATGCCGCGCAGAACCCAGGACCCCAAGTTCCATGGCGCTGCCCCTTGAAACACGGAGGCGGCATTTTAAAGGAGCAGTACTCCACAGCTGTGCCGGGGATCAGCTGTACGGTCACTGCCCCTTTGAAACACTGCCCTGGGGTTTCAAAGCAGCATCACCACACAGCTGATCTCCGGATCAGCTGTGCAGCGCTGCTGCTTTGAAGTATCCCTTCTTCCCCCCACTTTGCTGCCTCTATCTGATAGAGGCAGTAAATGGGGGTAATCAACTAGTCAACGGACTAGCCGATAAGCATTTGCAAAGGGCTGGCCTTACAATGAGGTGAACTGAGGTGGCTGCCTCAGGTGCCTGGCTGTGGGGGGGGGGTGCCACTAGGACCCAAAGGGAGGAGGCAGTTTCAAAGTTTTTGGCCTAAGTGAGGAGGCATGGGAGCGTCATTTGAGCTCCCTGCCTCAGGTGCCAAAATGTTATGGGCCGGTCCTGCATTTTCAAATGCTTATCGGACAGTCGACTAGTCCTTAACATCCTTAATAGCAACATGAATGCTAGGGATTAAAGCACTGAAAGACTGAGAGAGAAAGCTAAGATAAATTAGTAATTGTTTCAACTTGAAGGAAAGGAATCAGAAGCAACTACGGTTCTGTTGAAGCTTTAAGATGTGCACTAACTCTGCTAGAGGCAGCAGCACGGTGGAAGGAAGAGGGGGACAGCTTGTGTGCAGGAAGAGCCATAGAGCTGCCTCCTCTCCTCTCTCTCCCCTCACCCCCCTTCTCCCCGCAGCTGCTACTTCTGTATCAGACAGGGCAGGTGGGAGCCGGTGCTGGCAGGAAGCCAGCTGCAGGTGTAACCCTGCAGCTGCTGAGTTTTCTGTGGTTAACGTTTAAGTACCAGCATTTTAACATCCCTACTTTGAAGTCTATTCCTATTGTCAGCATGCGAGAACAAATTTTGTGCTTAATTACTATGCTTTAATTAAAAATCTTGAGTTGTTATATGTTATACTATTGTTGCAAAAAATCAAGTATTCTTTGGTTGTTCCATATCTATGGTTTGATGTAAATAACACGTTTCAACTTATAAAAAGTTATGGCAGGTATTGTATTTCCTCCACATGATACGATTAGCTTGAATGCTACGAAAAAAATGCAATGTTAAGTCTTGAAGACATGCAGTGGTGTTTTTTGAGGTTCTGTGTGGACGT